TCTACCCTAGAAACTTAAATATCTAGAAAAAATGTATTCAGCGAAGGTAACTCTTTTCAACGAAATTATTCTCAAGCTGTACACTTACACGACTGGTTTTATAAAGGTGAAAAGAAATGCACCAGAAGTTCTATTCTTGGATTCCAACCATTCGATTGACCTAATTATTGGTTTTAAGGTTGTCTATCGAATTCGCCTAAATATCTCATGTTTCCTCCATTTTCAACTTCTAAAAACGGCCAAGGCTTTGGCTATGCATGAACTAAAGCCTGATATTTGTTTACAAAGAACTATGTACAATGTTTGTCTCTACGTTGGCCTTAACTTATTTTGGAGAACCACTGAAGCATCTTGGGTGTATACTACTGAGAAATTCCATATTGGAACGAAATAACTGTCAAGTGCTCCCAAGTTTTCAATATGGTTCAAAAATTGATGTCAGTCAGTGATGAATACTACATCAAAATTAAAAACCCAATTCGCTTCAAAATACAAAACATTTTCAAGTTATTACAATAAACTTGTTTCATTCATGTTACATAACGCTTTGATTGTGTATTAACTATGCCACGTTTTCATCCCTTTGTAATCTACATGGATCTGACATACTATTTAAAAACTTTACGTAACCCGTTTTTGTTATCATCTAACCCTTACATCATCAACTAGTAGGATTGCTACTGCTATTAACACCAATATTACTATTTCAATCGCCAATTATTCTAGTTAAATCTTCCACATAGATTGCAGTCTTTAGATATATACATATATATAGTAATGAACAGATTAAGAATAAATACTTTGAAAAGAGTCCTCCTTACTGAATCTCTTGTTTTTTCACAGGAAACATTATAGTTTCGATAATTCGATCTCTGTTTTTGAACGATTATGATACAGAATAGGACAGTATGATAGAATATATTCAAGGATATTCAGTTGTTTCCATAGAACTGAAAGTGTAATGTTAATGACTCACAATGCAATCACTTGAGAGATGATGTAAATCCGTACAAGAAGGATATAGTCTTTGTCGATGTATTTATTGAAAATACTGTGGAAAAACGCTGTTACCAAGCAGAAAAATTCTAAGGAAGCAGTCAGAGTACGTTTACGTATATTTTAATAACAGGTTATCAATAGACAGCTTACTGCGTTAAGTTCGTTCATAAGGTGACAAGATAATAGAAATTTCGTATAGTTAGCTGTCCTATTAGGAAGAGCTAGAGTATACAAAATGAAATTATCTTGACTGATCCTAAATTTTTGATCATTCATGTTATTATTATTATGTTATTTATCCCTTGAGTTCCTAATGGAATATAAGGACTCTGCAGCACTTCTCCATTCCACTACCTTCTCTGCAATCTTTTGAACCTCACTCCATGACTGCCCACAACCTCTCATTTCTTCCTCACACACCATCTCCTCCATGTCACCCTGGCCTCGGACGCTCAACTCGTCACTTCCTATTTGGGTTCCACTCGAGCTACTGGCCTGGCGAGTGATATCTCTGATTAGTCTTCTCAGTGTATACCCAATTCATCTCCACTTCCTTCTGCATATTTGTTGATCATTCATATTTGACCAAAATTAGAATTTCTCAGTATTTTTGCACCAAGTAGTACAAAAACAGAGAAAGTGAAAGTTGGTGTTTATCATTTTTTTTGTCGGTATAGGTGGGAAGGACTAATAATTCTTGCCTACCGCACACTTTGTGATAGTCAGAAACTCTATCACCAAGGTGGTAAACTTCAAATAGAAATTCACAATAATCACTCAAAAGTTATTATTAGAACAAAAAGTTACAAAATACAAAAAGACAACAGTTGTAAGAAATTCTTCACATTCGTATTAAGTTGTTCAACATACAGTGACCTTTAATATTTTGCTTTGGATATGAATGGAAACATTTTGAAACTAGGAACAATAGACGGACTATAATTTTCATTATATCACAACAAAGGGAGTTATCTATTTATACATAAGTGAAAGTAATTAGCTCACTCAGAATCAAGTAGTAACTTTACCTTCTTCCTGAAGGTAGGATCTGAAAGAAGCAACTGGTTGAACCCTAATTATATTGTCAAAGTAAAGCTAGTACATAAACGTTCATCAGCGTTTATTGGTTTCAGAATTTCATTTAAGAGTTGGATAAAGATGACATCTCTGTTCATAACACAAGTAATGATGTCTTGATTTATTTCCAGTATAACATTGATATTCATTTGCTTGCCTTTCAAGCATTCTATTACTAAGATAAACATCCACAGATTATTAGGATTCATGTTACCTGTGACTTAAAGACAAAGCCTAATTGACTCAACATAGAAAGAAACTTTTATATTCTAGAGTAGATCAGTGAGTTATTTTGTTGATTCACCTTATCAAAAGTATTCCTTATCACTTTTATAGTAAGCCAGATGAAAGTGTTTTTTATTCGACCGAATATTAAGTCCTTCCTTAATATTCAGGTGTTTAGCACGTTAACTCCAAATCAACGATATCAATCTTCCCTTCAACCCGTCTACATACAATTGTGAACAAACAGATGAATTTTAAAATAACTCATTGAATGAGTATAGGAAATAAAAAGAAGAGTTATCTTAAGTCTATCTTCTTTTCATAAATTCAAGAATTCCTAATTTTCAAAGTATTCGTGCGTAAAAACTGAATTATAAGAGAAAAAGAGTGAGAGAAAAAAAAAGAGAGAAATGAAATCACTTGACGGGGAGGTGTGTAATGTCACACGTGTATAGACGTGACTATTCTTCTTTTGCCTTAATATCTATAGTGGTTTTGCAGAAGGTTTGATTACTAATTTATTTTTAAATGAATACATTTCTCAAATAATTAGTAATTCTTTAATGCTTCCATCCTAATAAGCGATATATCTTGTTGCTAAAGCTATTCTTCATACTTACTGGTTTCCTTCACAAAGAAGACAGTCATTAGGCTATCAAAGCACTGAAAATGGAAGAATATGAAATGTGAGAGGTAAATTGCAGAAATTCGATTGCAATAATTAGTTTTATGTGATTGAAACAGGACATCAAATAGATGTTTTTCGCTCCTTCAGGATAATCAAAAAACAAAAGACACCACGTTTATTATGGTTTGTCGAAGCTCTCGCTATCGAACATTTTCAACTTGACCTATGTACTCCAAAGGAGGCTGTAATTAACCTTTGTTTATCTTGGTAACTGAATATAAATTCTGCATGTGTATGTATACAGTCTTCCCTTTTTTTTCTGATTGCAGCATCTCTTCATTCATTACTTGCAGACTGTTAACCAATTAACGATTTTCCAGTTTTCCACTTAATTACGTAACCTATTAGCTGTTATACAGTCCCTTTTTCTATACTCATTTTCGTTTGTTCTCATCGAACTCCACATCTCCATAATTTTCTGTCTCACCAGATATGCGTTGCGATTGATTTTGACTAATATTTGTAACTATTAATCCTGTTTCCTTGACTTACTCATCACCTTATTGTTAATTCTAGACTTCAAATCTCTATTTATTTCAACGTGTTTAAAGTGTGTTATGTTATTATTACTACTAATAATTCATTTCAATTGAAGGCTATTTGCAGCTGATGAAAGGCCATAAAACAAAATGAGCTCATTTTTCGCATTATTCAAATTTGTCAAGGAAACTAATTAATTTTTATCGTCTTAATTAGTCATATTCATTCCAATATTTCCATAAAGCCTAAATTTGAGTCTAAAATGATAAATCCTCTTTTCTGGGAATTTGAGCTACTCGATGAAATGAAATGATACTTCTAAAAACAAGCTGGGAGAGAAAATCCCTTCGTTTTGATAATTTTGTTACCATTCATCATGAACGCTCTTTAGTGACATGTCTACTTCCGTGAGCTCTTAAAACATATCCCAGTGATAATATGAGTGATGTAATTCCATACACTTACTTAGTAAATGTCAAAGTAAAAGCTGTTAATACAAAATCATCGTTTAAAGTTGACCATATAATGCAGAAAAAGCAGCGAAGATGGGACTTCAAGTGAATGTAGAGAAGACAAAGGTGACGGAAGTACCCAACCAACATCACCAACAACAAGCTCCAGTTACCATGAATGGAAGAAGCTTAAAGGGAGTAGCCTCTTTCACCTATCTAGACAGGCAGCACTGTTTCAACTACAGACGGCAGGGACGAGAACGTCAAAGCAAGGATCGAAAAGACAGCGAAACAGGCGTTCATTAACCTGAAACCAGTGTGTGAATCTTCTGCACTCAGCATAAAGCATGAACAAAATCCATATTTTCAACACCGACGTCAACTCGATGTTTCTATATGGTTCAGAGACTTGGCGCATCACGAAAGCTATTTCCAACAAAATACAGACATTAGTCAACAACTGCCTACACTGGCTCGTTACTGAAGATCAGATGGCCAGGTATTAAGAATAAGCAACAAGGAACTGTGGCTGGCATCAACGAACCAACCAAGAACCTATCGCTGAACAAATATGCAATGGAAGGAATTGGAGATTGATTGAGCATACACTGAGAAGACGATTTGGAGACATCATGTGCCAGGCCAGTAGCTCGAGTGGAACCCAAATGGGAAGTGACGAGTTGAGCGTCCGAGGCCAGTGTGACATGGAGGAGATGGTGTGTGAGGAAGAAATGAGAGGTTGTGGGCAGTCATGGAGTGAGGTTCAAAAGATTGCAGAGAAGGTAGTGGAATGGAGAAGTGCTACAGAGTCCTTATATTCCATTAGGAACCCAAGGGATAAATAATAATGATAATTGTTATGTGAATCTTCGCTTTAGGTGATTTCATATAACTTACACTTGAGAGATGTTACGACACTTAGATAATGTATACACACGTTTTAACTTTAAGCATAATAATAACCATTTAAGGGTGTAAAGCCTTTGGTTTGATGAATTCCAGCTTAATAGTAAAGTGTTTATAAATTTGAATTAACCTCAGTGATTGCATAAATTTGAATGGAAAAATCTGTTCATATCAGATTTTCATTTCATCAATGGGTATATTAGGATAATGTATTTCAATGACATATCACAGGACAAAGACACATATACACATACACAAATAACATGTTTACCGGTACAGTGCATTTTTTCTGATAGTTAAAAGATGAGGTAGAAAAAAAAATCGAAGAGTTTAGTAGAAATTTTCAATAGGCTTCATTTTCATTTCTCTATAGTATTGTTTAGCCAATAAAGATGAACTCGTAAAAGATGGTAGGGAATAAGTTGAAATAAAATAAGTCAGTCATACTGTAACACATTCTTATTCATTCGACAAATTATAACAAATAAAATTAAATTTATCATTTAATCGTAAATGAACGAAAACAAATATTCAAAGGAATGTATAGATGTTGTATGGTAAAACAGTTACATTAGAATAAGTATTTTCCAGTGATCGTATTTCACTGTAATACCAGCTATAACTTTGTTTCACCTTCTTTTTTATTCGCTATGGAATTGTCGATAGTTAATCATAAGACTCAAAGATAAAACTTAATTTTTCAACAAATTTATGAATTTAAATATCCATCCGAAAATACATTGAAGCATTCAACTGGTAGATACAACAGAAATAAATCACATTGAATTATATATGTAATTATTTGTATTACATAATAATTTGGTGGAATTCAGTATATAATTTATCATAAAAGCATAAGCTTATCAATTGAAATTGTATAGACAATAAGTGAAACAACTTAGTGGAATGCAGCTTATTAATTATGTTACAAAAGAAATGTACAAATATACTTTATACATCAATTAGTACTAATAGGTAATCATTTATAAGATACACGGAACCAAGAATAGGTAGATAGTACTGCACATGAAAACACCTATGTACACAAACACAACAAAGCGCATATTATTACGCCTGAATCTGTTAACACATAAAAATGTATACCTAAGATAATAGATTTTATCAAAAGTTTTAGCCCTATAGTGTTCTTAAACTGTACACTAGACTATTAAACCAGTTGAATGAATAATCAAATAATATTAAAAAGGTTAAAAATATTAAGAAGTGAAAATCTGTCTGAAAATAAATCATCAAAGTTATACTGAGAATAATAGAAATAGTAAAAAGAATATAATGAGAAAGAAAATACATGGTAAAAAGTATTTGTCAAAAGATGCTTTGATTGACAATTATTCTTCACTGGTTCATTATGTCTTTGTGATTGAAGTGATGTTCTTGTATGTCGCCAACTTTGAGTTTGTTGATGGTGACGCTGTAATTGTTGTAGACGATATATAGAATCGGAATTTTTGTTTAAATCATTGTATTCATTTGATACTGGCGCCTTTAAAATACTTTTTTGAAATGTTGAAAATTGTGGATGGTATTTTATATGTAAATATTGGTCATTGATCATGATGTTCAATAGTTCTAATGAATTAATGCAGTACTGAAAAGATAAATAAGGGATAAATTAGTAAAGTGTAATATTTTTCAATTTATCTAATAAGTTTGATTTCTTAGTGAATGGTAAAACAGTGAAAGAATTAGGCTTTGAAATTTTTCTCATTCTCAAATCTTGAACAACGGTAAATATTCTAATCAGAACTAGAAAATGGTGTTTGTCAGCATTCAAACCAATAGTAGTATTTATTTTGAGAATTATTTCGTAAATATCATCTTATAATCCATATTTTGATGAAAACAAAGACATTTTTCATATCCTTGGTGCTCACAGGCATATTTGTTTTAGAAGAAATCCATGAACTTATGTTTCAAGCTTGTTGACACTCACCACACGATGTATCTACAACTTTGACAAACTGACATACTATTCGAACCTGGGTCATTCAGTGCTACAGTCAGAGACGTTACTACTGGGCTGTTTAGGCCACAATTGACTTTCTGTAGGAATGGATTACATAGACTGACTGATAGCTGGAGAGCAGCCAGTTTAATGTTGCGACTCAGAACTTGCTTAGGATTAGACTGTTTTCTTTCCAGTGACCAGTATCGATTACGTCCCAAATAACCCAGTAGTAACATCTCTGACTGCAGTACTGAGTAGTGTGAGTTCGAATCCCATAGGGGTTGCAGATGAGCCTTACTGACTAGTGCAAGCGAACAAGAAATCTAGGTTCATCAATTCCTACCGATTTCCTTAAACTAACTAAAATCTATGAGGGTGCATTGCATTATGCCGATTCTCACCACCTTGTCGTTCTTCCTTTCTTTCTTCTCGTACTTTATATTTCTTCCCACCAAATTTTCTTATCTTCATCTTGCACCTGTCTTTTTACTTGACGTACTGAGATGAGCTGTGGCAACTCGAACCGTTACGCAGTAATGGCTGGTCCTATGTTGATATTGATGATGATGATGATGATGGTGATGATGCATTGAGAAGGTGGCCACACTGAGAATTGATCAATTGAGTTTTTTGGTACTCAGGACTGAACAACACGAAATTAGCTTCTCTCTAGTGACCAACTAACATCTGATATGTAAAATACTCAGCCCAAACTTTTGAATTCCATTTGTAAACATTTATACATGTCCTCTTCTCAGGTCTATTTGGGTTTATGGATTTCAAGTCGGTATTCATCAAAAGCAAACATAAGTTGAAAAACTATTTAAAACCCAGGAGTAAGTGTTCTTATTAGCTGACTTTAAGCTCTGAGGCATTTGACGGCGGGTTGCTTGAACTTAGACCTACCAAATTTATCCGTCGAACACTTCACATCAAATTAGTTCCTTTCAGTTTGTTTGAAATACTGAAATATGTCCGTTGGACGTATCATGTACTCTTGCACATTTCTAAACTGTTTTCATCTCTCCGTTTTCTGGGTCAGTAACAAAGCAGGGAAGAAATGTTACGTTATATGTAAGTGAACTTTTCACTACACAAACGTAAATCATATTTCTATCTGTCAGATACTTAGGCTGAGTTGCAGATTTTTGTGCTTGTTGAATGAATAGCCACCACAAAAATGACGCTTGCATTTCTGTCGATTCATCATGATGGAAATGACGTCCATCGAAAACCAGTTGGCTGTATAGCATTATTACCTTGAATACTGTTATTATTCAGGTCATTCGGATGCAATAGGCATTTCATTTGAAAGTATTGTTGTGGTAGTGAGTTTATTGAAGGATTGTATGCTGAGAATTCCATATTATCATACATATTGTTTGGAATGAAGCGATTACTATTATGTCTATGCCGTATCATTAGAAAGTGGATTCAAATTATTCAGCAGTAGGAACGCTATATCAGTGGTGTCACCTGTACAGATAAGGTTTAATTTAAAACTGGCAAAAATCATGTAACAGATTTCGACTTCGCCACCTGCCTACCTACCCACCTACCTAGGCAGCATCTTTGCAACTACAAACGGTGTCACAGATGAGGATGTCCAAGCCAGCATCAGAACGACAGCCACACAGGCTTCCATTAACCTGAAATAATCACTGTGGAAATCTACTGCACTCAGAATAAAACATGAACGAGATCCGGATTAATACCAGTCATGTCAGTGCTTCCACGTGATGATTGAGAAGTTTGGCGCGTCACGAAAAGCATTTCCAACAAACCACAGTCATTCATTAAAAACCGCCACTTACGTTCACTCGATACTGATGATCAGATGGCCAGAATAATAAGAATAAGCAACAAGGCACTCTGACTGGTTGGCTGGCTGACTGGCTGTGAACCAACCGCGAACCCATCGCCCAACAAATATGGAGAAGGAAGTGGAGATGGATTGGATTTGCTTGGACATACACTGAGAAGACCATTTGGGGGCATCGCGCAACAGTTCAGTCGTCGAGTGGAGGCCAAGTAGGAAACAACGAGTTAGGTGTCTGGGTCGAGGGTGACATTGAGTAGATGGTGTGTGGGGAAGAAATGAAAGGTTCTGGGCAGTGGTGGACCGAGGTTGAAAAGACTGCATAGAAGAGAGTGTAATGGAGGCGTGTTACTGAGTTCATATGTTCCACTAGGAACCCGAAGGACAAATAATAATAATAACAATAATGCCATCTCAGCTTGTTTAGAAAATCAAAACAATATTCTTCTAGATGTTCCACTGTGTATGCCACAGCGTAATTTTTCCGGCGATTGGTTCGCGGTTGGTTCACAGCCAGTCAGCCAGCCAACCAGTCAGAGTGCCTTGTTGCTTATTCTTATTATTCTGGCCATCTGATCATCAGTATCGAGTGAACGTAAGTGGCGGTTTTTGATGAATGACTGTGGTTTGTTGGAAATGCTTTTCGTAACGTGACAAGTTTCTGAACCATACAGAAGCGCTGACTTGTTATTATTGTTCCTTAATACCATACTTCGGACAAAGTCTTCGCATTTTTTCTAAAGTAAGATTTCCACGTGAAATTGTTGTTGTTGATATCCATGACTTGTTTTCAGTCTCACTTGTCTTATCTGTTTGCTCCTCGTTATTCTTCTTGAAAATATGGTTTAGTAAACTAATTATTCGGATAAGGATCTCAAATCCAGAGTAAATTTACATAAAACAGTCTTTTCAAAAAAAATTACATAGGCAATGTTTTGCTATTATTTTTCACTACATAAGCAAAAAAATATTTAAAAACCATTTTAGTGGCACAGTTTTGTACATCCAATGCTGTTTCTAAGGATGAGTAACATCGTCTATTTACTTTGAGTAATGTCGCATTCATCTTATCTACCAGTCAGATTAACATTGCACTGCCAGTGTAATGGGTTAAATTTCAGGCATTTTAATCACGACTTACATCAGTTGTGATGAACTTAACACTTAGGCAACAGTTCATAAGCAAGAATGAAAAGAATCTTGAAAATAGTAACATTTAGATCCCTACTTAAACCTCAAACATCAAGTGAATTGAAAGCATACCTCCGGCAGCTGAAGGCGGAAACTGTGTTGGTGGTAAAGAAATCATATAATTCTGTTTGACCTTGTTTGGATATCGTAACGCTTAAGTTTCTGTGACTTGCCTGGAGAATCTTGAAACAGACCCTGGGTGAAAGGTTCAGCTTATCTCACTCCAAATAAAATGAGACTTCGAGAATGCTATACGTACCTAGGAGTAGTTGTATCAACCTATGGTTTTTGAGGGTTGGGCAATCATGAAGCAGACATGATACGTTGAAATACATCAATCTACGAGCCACTGAAGATCTAGGAACACTTGATAGCTATTTCGATCTATTTGCAAAATTATCAGTAGTACATACCAGTGATTATTCCATTAATTGTCTGATGCAATCGACTGGCTTTTGAATTCAGCTTCTGGTCTCATCACTGCTGCACTTATTCCACTGGCTAAGTTTAATACACACTTTGGTTTATAACTAATATCACACTTTGGAGTCACACTAAGACACTTGAGGTACTACAGAGATACTGTTTGTCATTGTAGACGAGATATAACTGGTTTAAGGAAATGAACAGTGAAAATTTTCCCATGTACTCCGGCTTTCAAAATTTTTCAAATAAGGTTTTGGAACTGGTGGACTTTGGATTGACAATCCCAGGTCAGCTACTAAAAAGACTATTGGCAGCAGCTTGCAGTCAGTGATTACTTTGCATCTAGTATCAAACAAACAGTTTTTGCAATGTTCAGAAAAAGATTATTTTCTTTCTCAAAAAAATCTTAAGGGTGTTGGTATCATACAACTCCTCTTTAAAATGATTAACTCAAACAGAAACTAAGTAGCATGTTTACTAAGTTAAGTGAACGAGTTAATATGTATTTCTGAAGATCTTCCTGAGGACTGCACAAATGTATATGTACATTCTTATACAGATATCATTGTAGTGCACTTATCTTTTTCATTCATATTGCATACTCCAGGATTTTACGAATCACGTCGGCAAAAAGGCGGAATGAATGAAGAATGCTTACCTCTGTTTGATTATTTCTTCCATAATATTTATCTGAGCTGACTGCTAATAAATATTCCAAGCGTTTAACAAATTTTGCAGATCTACCATCACTTGACTTGTGTTTCAACCAGACATTTTTATTGTTTACTGTTTGATATGTTGATAAAAGTAACCGGCAGCTTGATTGTCCAATCAGATGTGAAATTAACTTAGTCAAAAGCAATTCAAGTTGTACAATACTTCCATAGAATTCATACTCTGATAAAGATTTGTCATCGGCTAACAAATCTATAGTTGTTGAATACATATCCACATCAAAGTCTATCAGTAATTTATGACCTATTAGAAAAAGGAAATGGGACAAATAAAAAGTTGTGCTTTGAAAAAATTAATGAATGCTCTTGATTTCACTAATAATAATTTATTTTCATTTCACTATCTGAGACAATCATAGTTTGGCAGACGAGTATTTATGCTGGGTGATGACTGAAAGTGAGATGAAAATCTGGACCGCGATCAGATTCGAACCAGTGACCACTGGATGGTCATCACCCAGCAGAAATAATTTATTTGCTATGTTGTCCGGTACTTTTAATTTTCCGTTGCTATACCGGGTCGAACTGCTTGACCTCTGTTAGTGTGGTAGCCTCAATACTGCTGAACAATCGTAATGATTCATTTACCTTGGTGACTAGGAGTGAAATCTAGATCGCCCCTTTTTTTCCTACTCAGAACTCTTCAGCTGGATATACCTTTGGCGTTTGAAACAATGTGTGCTGGTTAAGAGTCCCATTGGAGGCAGGTGTATCTGATGTAGCGTTGCCGATGTAACGGTTCGTGCCCGTTTGCCGTGATGTTTTTCGTCATTTCATTGGTCATTTGCAGAACGATAAGTTAAAAACATTTTGAAATGCATCACAGTACACTACACAATTAAAAGACACATCTACAGCGAATAAAGAAATTTCAAAGTAAAAAAAATCCGAAACGATATATTCGGTGAAAAGTCTTTAGTTTGTTTAAGTTACTAGAAGATCCGCATGCACAATAAAGACCACTAAACATTCTTTAAGCGTATCCTGAATCTAATTTATTTTATCATATATCCAATGAACTTCATTTTTACTGACGGATGATAATTAAAATACTCCCTAGTTTTGACAATTAGAAAGTATCTCTAACACATGTGGACACAAAAGTTCACTAAGTTACTCTCACTTGCACGGCTATACAGTGAGTACTGTTGAATCATGAAAAACAAAATTCAGACTTGAAATAAATAGTCTCGAAAAATGCATTGTGATATTTGATTTTGTGGTCACTGCTTAAACTGACTGATTTCGATGCATTGCTACGGTGAACAAGGATAGAAAAGTGGCTACTTTGAGAAGTACGAGTCAAACCAGAGACTTCTCTAATGCTACAATAGTGGCATGGAGAATAACTAAGAAAATGCAACCGACAATGCAAACATCTTCAGTTTAATGATTTTTGATTTTACAGTTTTGTGTATCTAAATGTTCTACTTTATTGTAAGAAATAATATTAAACATACTAGGTAAAACTATTGAGATAAAAAATAGGTGGAATATATTTGCTGTGAATGAAGCCTCAGAAATTTCTCCAACAGGCATTGAGTGTATTCTCTATCTCATATCTACTCAAATAAAAATTGCTGATATTCATAGTACTGTGGTCAGTAGGAAAAGTGTCATAGCTGAAGTCAAAAGCCTGTTGATTGGCATATGTATGTCCATGATAGAACACTTCGGTTAGACACACTTTAGTCCAACCAGGTAAAATGTCAGTTTTCAAATTAAAATCATCATAAGGGAAAAGTAGGAATAAAAAGTTTCTGATCTACGTTTTGCATTTGATCTATCTAAGAAATAGTCCGAAATAAATTGACTATACAATCACAAATCGGAAGTGAGTTGTCTGTAAAATGAATAACGTAACGCTGTAACTTTCGTTAAGATTTGGCTGGAAAAAGGAGTTAGTCACAGATTAATGCAGATATATACTATAACAACATTCGCTCAACCAAGCCTTTCATTGGTATGTAACTTACTTTAGTGTTAAGTGAAACTTATGAGTGTACATTATGTAGCTGGCAATTACCACTCAAAGTTCCGCCTAAAGGACGCATAAAACTCGCTGTCATAGAATAAGCCATAGAAATTTATTTACAGACAGATAAATTAGTCAGATAATTAAATCAGGCAGTCTACTTGAACCTTAAGGTATCAAGCATTTTCCGTTGAATATATATCAGATCATTTATTCTCAATTTGTTTTAATCTTTTAAATAAGTCTTATAAACGTAACATCCACTCTTGCACACTTTAAAAACATTTTCAAGCAACCGTTTTTAGAGTAAGCAGCAAAATTAGGAAACGCCGTCAGGTGAGATAAAAATGGACATTTTTAAATTCACAAAATATATAATATTTTTATACATAAGATACTTAGGTCAAATATGAGTTTCTTGTACTGCTGGCATGAACCACCATCGTCAACTTTAGTCTGACTTTTCTGTACATTCCTAATTCCAAACCAAAAGCTAACGTAACACCAGTTATCTGTTTCTCATTATTGCTTTTAATACTGTTAGTATTAACATTATTCGGATAGAATAAGCATTTCGTTTAAAAATACTGTACTAGGAGTTAGTTTGTTGAAATCGTTGTTGTTAAGTCACTTTAAAATAACCAAAGAACTTGATTTATTCAAGTTTATTTCTGCTACATTTTCCATACCATTAGTATCTTTCAGTGATATAAAATGAAAAGTAAAGGTAAATTGAAAACGTTGTTCAATTTGTGCGTAGATTTTGATAAAGATTATTGTATGTCAATAGAGCAATATATCAGAAAACCTGAGGTCATAAAATACACCATAATTTAAAACGTAGTGATTTTTTAGGCACTACCTATATACAATAACCTCGCCTGCCCCACTGGTGCGCTAGTTATTATCCAATCCTAGCCCGGATAAAGATTGACGGTTGGGCATGGAGCTGGCAACCCTCACCAGTAAAGCTAGTCCAATCCCTAAAGAATCTTCAAAACACAAAAAAGCATGAAAAACGAAGATAAATTTATTCCTCCCTGGAATCAGGAAGATGAAATGACGCCAGTTGGTGAGAGGCATCAGGAAGCCAATTGGCTGATGTGTCTTCTCTACTCCCAATGAAAGCGAAAGAGAGAATGGGGACATGGAATGTCCAAACAATATTTGAAGCTGGCTGGCTGGCAAGGCTGCCAAGATTGCAAAAGAGGTAAGATGATATGGCATGGAAGTGCTCTCAATCTGCTAGAGCAGATGTAATGAGAGTGGATTCTCTCATCTATCAACTGGAGAGGAGTCAATGATTAAATCCCATATTGTCATCTACATGACAACCATGCGCACACTCAGTTTTCGAGTGACTGTCATGATGTCTTGAACAGCATCGAAGGCTCTCATTCAGTGGGAACTAATCTCCTCCTGCTGGATCAGGATCATGACAGCAAGATGGATTCAACTCAAAAGGAAGGAAAGTCACAACCACACAATGCTGCACTACACACCTACAAATAATACAGATGAAGAGAAGAAGGAGGAATTCTACAGACAACTGCAATCAGTACTGGACAAGACTCCAGAAACTGAACTGTAGGACGAAACTATGAGGGACATCTTCACGTCGCCAGCCATCAGGACAAAATGGGAGATATTGAGCAACATCCTTGAGGAAACCTACATGAGAGTACACTGGAAATCTTTGAAAGAGATGTGGTAGGAAACCAGCACATCCGTATTAGGAAGAAAAAAACAGGACAAAGAATGTGTCTCGACTAACACATAGAAGCTGATAGAAGAGGGAGAGGAAGGTGATTAAGCATAAGGTGAACCAGTGCAGTAAAGCGATTAACAACGAGAAGAGGAACTGAGTAAAGTCTATAACACACTACACTGGACAAAGAAGCGAAGAAGAGTGCGCCTAAACTCAAATGACACTTCTGTGACACGTTTGCAAGTGAAGCAGAACAGTCTGCAGGTAGGAGAGACAGATTCCTGATAACGCTATATCACATAACCAGGTTACTATCTGGGAGGGAAACCTAGTTACCGAAGGGGAGAAAAGGATGATACGATCGGTTTATCACTTCAAAAAACTCTTGAATCGACCACCATCACCTGCAACTCGTACAGAAATACCACCAGCAACCGCAGAACTACTAATGGACACAAGTCCTCTGACGTAAGTAGAAGTAAAGTCCTGAACACCATAAAGCTGCTCAAATTCTGAGGGTCAACAAAACGAGATGAAATTCATCCAGAAACACTGAGAACGGACTCAGAGACATCAACAGTGCAAAAGCTCACACCGCTAATGACGTCTAATGACAAAAGATACTTCGACGACACATTGGCCAGTGAAGAAGAACAAGTTGTAGGTAGGAGAGACAGAGACCTGATAACACTATATAAAATAACCAGGGTACTATCTAGGAGGGCAGAGATCAACCCAGATGAAACCAATAAGAGATAATGAAGGTAATTTAATTACCACCTGCCGAGTATTTCACAAGGGGAAGCTCTGTGACGCTTTTGAAATGAAGATAGGAGTAAAACAGGACTGTCTACTATCACCCATGATATTCCTAATTGTAATGGACTGGATCATGCAACAAACAGTGACGAGCGGGAAGAGGGGGGAAACTCTGGACAACGGAAAAGAACCTTGAAGACTTGGATTTCGCCGATGACTCAAGTCTAATGTCTTGTAGCACAAACTCGAATATCTACAGGCAAAAACTAACACGTTGACAGAAGAGGCAGGGCAGTGTAGACGGGACTTCAAGTGAACGCGGAGAAGACAGAGGTGACGAAAATACCCAACCAACACCAACACCACCACCAACAAAAAACAAGCTCCAATCACCATCAACGGGGGAAACTTAAAAGGAGTAGCCTCTTTCACCTATCTAGGCAGGCAGCACTGTTTCAACTACAGGCGGCACAGACGAGGATGTCAAAGCCAGCATTGGGAAGACAGTAAGACAGGTTCTCATTAACCTGAAATCAGTGTGGGGATCTTCTGCACTCAGCATGTGGAACAAGATCCAGATTTTCAAGACTATTACTAGTCAAGTCAGTGTTTCTATATGCTTCAGAGACTTAGCTCATTACGGAAATTATTTCCAACAAACTACAGATATTCATCAACAACTGTTTACACTGGCTAGTTTCTGAAGCTCAGATGGTCAGAATAATAAGAATAAGCAACAAAGGAATCTGGCTGGCTGGATGGCAATGAATCTGCCAGGAAGCTATTGCTGAACAAATATGCA